CACTATCAAAGGCTCGTTCACCTGCACATCCACCAATGTGATATATGCCATCATGTGCCAGCAATGCCCCTCTGCCATGTACATTGTTCAAACTGGACAGTCTCTACGTAAAAGAATAAATGGACACAAATCAGATGTCAAGAATTATAACATTCAAAAACCAGACAGAGAACACTTCAATCTCTCTGGTCACTCGATTTCTGATCTCAAAGTGACTATCCTTCAACAAAAAAACTTCGAAAACAGACTCCAACGAGAGACTGCTGAATTGGAATTAATTTGCAAATTGGATACAATTAACTTAGGCTTGAATAGAGACTGGGAATGGTTGAGTCATATTCCCCACCCCCACCCCTCCGTTCCTCAGACGTTCTTGTTAAACCCTGGATCTGTGCTGGAAATGGCCCACCTTGATTATCATACACATTGTAAGGAGAGTGATCACTTTAGATAATCTATTACCAGCAGGAGAGTAGGGTGTGGGGGGGGAGAGAAAACCTTTTGTAGTGATAAACACCCATTTTTTCTTGGTTTGTGTGTATAAAAACATCTTCAGTATGCATCCGATGAAGTGAGCTGTAGCTCACGAAAGCTTATTCTCAATAAATTGGTTAGTCTCTAAGGTACCACAAGTACTCCTTTTCTTTTTGCGAATACAGACTAACACGGCTGTTACTCTGAAACCTGACATAAGGCTTAGAGGCAGATACACGGCTGGGCCGAGATTTGTTATCTTCGCTCAAAACCTACCGACTCTGAAATCCCTCCCACTCTACAGTCACCTGGAGTGGAGCACCCACAGGGACATCATTTGAAGAAGAGAAGGTTACTCACCTTGTGCAGTACCTGGCGTTCTTTGAAATGTGTGTCCCTTTGAGTGCTCCATTATCCACCCTACTCCCCTCTACTTCGGAGTTCAAATGGTAGATTCTGCGGTAGAGAAGGAACTGAGGGGTACATGTTGCGCACATACTAGATGAAGCGCCAGCGGCGCGTCAAAGCAGGCACCACACATGCGTGACCCGGATGGGCACTGCTACGAAAATTCTCTGAGCAAAGGCACAGGGATGCCCCAACACCTGGAGTGGAGTACCCACAGGGGGGCACATCTCGAAGAACCTCACTTACTGCACAAAGTGAGTAACCTTCTCTTCAGCATACTGTGTTTCAGAGCACCTTGCTGGGGTTGAAAGACCGACTTTAGAAATTTGCTTTTACTTGGTGCCAGAGAAACTGTTCGTAAAGAGGTCTTGTTGATTGTGCAGAATACATTCAATTTTGGAATCTGATTTTTTTAAAATATCTCCAAGTTTCTTCCTTGTAAATACCTCCAAAAATTCTGGTTACTAATGCAATGATGACCTTGACAATGCTGATTAAAATATTTAATAGCTGTAAAGTAAACAGTATTTTGAGGTAGTTTCCTAAAAAAGACTCTAAGGAATCTAAAGTTGTGGCTTATTAATGGGGAAATTCTGCAGAACACTGTAGCTTATATTTTTAGACATGTCATCTGCCAATGTGGAAAGAGAAGTGTTCTGGCCTTGATTTATAATTCCCAATTGTGTGTACAGTTTTGGCTAGCTTTTCTTTTTCTTCAGATGAATATCTTATTATAATTATTTACTTTTGACATCTAATTATCTTTAGTAGCTTGTTACAGGAGGTAGCAGAGTTTTGTTCCATATCAATTGTGGAGAACAATAACTCACTTGTATGGGTAATTTTTGTATTCGTTTTGATCTATACAGATCTTTTCATGCATTATTCGCCCCCTCCCCCCTTTTTTTTTTGGATCTTTCAACTCTTGTTCACATTTATATTTGAGCTTATTCATAATTAGAAACATATTTGACGTTCACTTATGTCTCTCCCACTGCTAATTTTGAATGTTCAGTTTTGAAATCTTTGTGATTTGTGCAGGTTCCCCCCCCTTCTGCCTTGGTCTTTTCATCCTTTCTGCTGCAGTGAAGTTTAGTCCCTGCTGTTTATTAGACCCAGCAGGATTGGGGGTTAAAATAGCAGATATTGCGTTGTCCACTTCAGATAGATAATCCTGTTGTTTCTTAACAAGGCTCTTAGGGCAATCATATACAAGGAGTTCCCCTTAAAAGCTAATCTGAGCTAGAAAATTTATTTTGAGCAATATAAAAGAAGACTCTGATTGTGGCACACTCCATATTTTATCCTGAGTTAATTTTTCATGGAAGGAATATGCCAATTGCTTTGTTGGAGTTCCCAGAAGAGATTTTGAATCCTTGTGATATGCAGTGCTAACTCAATTATTGAATTCTTGCTTTCTTTAGCTTCATCCTATTTTAGTAATACAAATAACACATATGATTATTGTTTCCTATTGAATAGTTTCCTCTTTAGACTCTTGTACTTTGGTCACCTTCTCCGACCTGCATAGACGTTTCTCTTCTATGTCTGTTCTTTTGTCATTTTCTCCTATATATATTTAATTCTTGGCCTGCATGGGTCATTTGTTGGTGAATACTGGACTTTTGTTGTTTGTTTTTAACAAAACTGTGAACTAAACTGCTTTGGTTGTTTTCTTGTTCCTTTTCAAGTAGTGGACATTTTTTCAAACATAGATAAGTGCACAACTACACCCACAATGATTTTGTTGATTATAATCCAATTTCTAATTTAGTTTTCTCAAAGGGGCTGGAGAAGAAAGTTGCACTGCCAAAATATAGTAGCATTTTATTATTACTTTTATCTTTGTACAGTATCCAAAAGTGTTCATGACGCTTTACAGAATAAAAGCCACAGTACCTACCAGAAGGGTTTGCAATCTAATTTTAGAGATGCCTCATTAGAGAGACAACCAAAAGGGGGGACAATAAGGGAAAGGGAGGATGAAGATTACAATAATGAGGTAATTATTAACATTGAAATGTCAGCTGTGGCCAGAGTCTGTAACTATCATCTTCTCACTGTATATTTTTCTCACATTTCACACTTACTGTACTACTTTTAAATCTCTGTGCAGCTAGCTTCTATAAGCAATTTTAGTTAGAGTTTCATCAGTTTGTTCGGAAAGGTCCACTGGAGTGGTTTATATCCTGTTTTTCTAAACATATTTAATTTAATTAATATGTTCTATTGAATCAATTTTTGGATAGTATTGAGATTCTCTAAGTGCTCCAATTTAGCTTGTTTAATATTTACATTTTGGCTGACTCAGTTTTTAGGTTTATCGTATCTTAGTGCAGTTAAGTGAAATATTTGGATCTTTTCAGAGACTGAACATTAGCTGATGGCTTTCACCTGTGAATTTATAAATGTCAACGAATTCCCCCCAGATTAAACACTGATCGAACTGAAATTCCCAAAATGATTGCTACATTTTATACCATCTATAATTTTGCATCTTGAGGGGTCCCCCATATGTGTGTGTTTCTTCAGACTCTTGAATTGTGGGGTAACCATGTTGGAACACAATAAAAACATCATTAAATATTATTTTCATCATTTTAGGACTGTTACTGGAGTGTGCCCGTTTCTCTCCAAAGTTTATTTGGCAACATTAATTCCTTTTTCAAGAACAGCAAAGCTCAAACTTGTGCCATGGTTTTCTGGACTTTTTTAAACTGACCAGATGTTTTCAGCTTATTGAGACTTCAGCAGTTAGGGCCTTCACTGGGACCAAGTCAGTCCAGAACACTACTCTTGTCATAGAGACCATATGCAGGCTTCCTGTAGTGTCCTGGGCCTTTTTTTCCTGAGAACTGTTTAAATAATAAAAGATACATAAAGGATGATAAAATATTATTCACCTTCTCTTGTCACATTCGCCTGACACAAAAAAGTTAATCAGAAATCATATTAAAGGAAAACATATTTGTTTCCAAAATATTTGCGGTGCCCCGTGGATAATCAAAGGGGGTAAAGCAGCAGAGTTTTAGCTGTAGGTTAAGCTTCCTGGAAGCTTTCATTAAGGAACCAACTCAATAAGCCATCACCTCTAGAGTTTTTGTATCGAAAGGAGCACAAATTCTTGGTAAAGTGGGTAAAAAAGTGCAGGAGTTGACAATTAAGATGCTAATTCCTTTAACAAACACTCCAGCTTAATATTTGAGAGCCATAGAGCTAGAAGGAGAAAATGTCTGCTGTTAATAAAACCCTTCTCTAATAACCCCTCAATTTATCTCTTATAATGTGAAATATAAATAGATATTTCCTTCTAAGAAAATCCCTGCTGAAACTTTTAACATATGGTAATGCCTCTTTTCAGTGCCAAGAAAGTATATGAAAACTGTCATGGGGCATTAGTTGAGAGAGGATCACCAGAATCAGTTCAGTACACAGTAAAATGGAATGAAGGCTAGAGAAATGGCTCTCTATATAATAACATGTAAATCTTTAGACTTGAAAAAGCTATACTATGACTTCTGGCACTGCCTGCTGCAATGAGGCATATTTTATACTTTAATTCAAGTTTCTAACCATCAGCATGTAGCGGTGCATGGCTTCCCGTAATCTTTCTCCCTTGTTTACTTTTGCCCTAATCATCAATCGCAGAGACATTACTTAACTGTTATAAATCTGCAAATACAAACTCGTCATCTATTGCAATATTCAGTTTTAAATAGACCATTGCGGCTGAAAGATGTGATTAAAGCGACTTTTTATCACAACCTATTATCCATAGATTCTTTACTCCATAAGTCATAGTTATGCAAATATATATTGAATATACATAGAGAAATATGATGTACAGTGTGGTAAAAATATGGACTTGATTAATTTTTTTCATTCTTTATACAGCTTTCACCTGGAAGCAATTAGAGCAATATTCAGGGCAGCTTAAGGAGGCCACATACTGGTGGGAATGTATTCTTTCCATTTTCTTTTTTATCTTAGCCTCATACAAATTGGTTGACAAGCATGGCTGATAGTATAATACTTTTTGTTCAGTCAAGCGTCACTAATAAGAGAGAAATGTGAGCATCATTGCTGTCATCTCATTGTCCATCTGTCTATTTCTCTAGGAGGCGATTTCCTCTCCTTTTTAAGAAAGAAGAAGGATGAGCTAAAAACCAAACAGTTAGTGAAATTTTCATTAGATGCTGCTGCTGGTATGGCGTATCTCGAATCTAAAAACTGTATACACAGGTAAGGAAGATATTTATTTTCCATACTACAGTTTTGGCCACTTTAATGGCTAGATAATAGAGTAAACGTGTAGTGCTTAATATAAACTGGATGGATCTTTAAACTGTAAAACGGGCTACATTTTTTTAAAAGATCTGATTCTGTGTCTATGTTTTGAATTCAATTATTAGTAACTCTGGTTCCAAGCTATTCTGTTGTTCAACCATTAAGACAGGAAAGACAAGTTAAACATGCAATGAATGTCTCACTGAGAGAGAATTTGAGTCAAGAAGAACATGGCTGATATGGCAGAAAAAGATTATGGCACAATTAAAGAAACTAATTAACCAGCTAGAGTCATGTCTGAAGCTAAGAGAAACATGCATAGCCAGAAGAAACATGTTAATATGCTGACATTTCCCATTTTAGGGAAACTCATTGATATATAAAATCATGGAGATGGGCTAACAGCAGAAGTTGTATACAGCAGAAGTTCTGTGCATCAGAACAGTATTAATTGTTCACTCATGCCAACTTTCCAAACAGTCCCTAATACAGTTTCTAGTAAAATATTTGCCATTTTTCCCAACTCAGTCCCACTGTGGAGCTTTCTGTATTTCAATGGAAATTAGAGAGTTTACCCCCATATTTGTGTTCCCAAATATCCCAATGTGTAGCTTTTTAGTATGGCATATATGAATCACTATGAGGGTGGAAGATGACAGGAACATAATGGAGAAAAGATTTTGTTTGCAATGTTGATATGGCTTAAACTACAGTTTAAAAAAAAGTTTTCAACTAAGATTTGGGCTGCTTGACCTATTTTAATGGTCTAATTTCATACCTAGTACAACTCCACTGAAGTCAGATTTTTAGAGACCTGATTGATATTTCCCTTACTTACTTCAGGTATGAATTTGTCCCACTATCAGATAGGTCAAGTTAAATGTTTATCTTATTCTGGATTACAGGAATGTTTTATAAATTCTAAAAAATGTAGTTAGAAAAAAATCCACCATATACTTCACAAAATTCTGTAAGCGTTATTAATGTTGACATTATTAATGTAGATGTCCCCATATTTTGTGCTTTACTTTATATCCACTTGAGGAATTACTATTAGCTATCAAACTCTGTGCCCAAAATTGTACTAACATTATCAGTGAATTAACAAAACACTAATGATAGCTTGTGCTACATAAGAAACAGAGAAACAAAAAAAAAGTCTAAATGTAAAGTATCCAACACTGAAAATCTTAGGGAGGTATTACAAACGATATGGGGAAACAACAGGATTCAAAACCCAGCATTCTAACGCATTAAAATGCATCCAAGTGTGGTATTTTCATTTCAGAAAATATAACCAAAATTTAAATCAAATCAAAATCATAAAATTGAAGTGCTTTTAAATGTCCTTATAAATTTGTATCCCTTAATTTTGTTCCTGGGCCTACTCACTGTTAGCTGAAAAGTGCCTGCTCAGATCTTCAGGATTTCCAGAAAATAAAAAAGGGGAAAAATAAATAACTAAATGGTATTTTGTAGCTTTGTAAGCAACTTGTGTTCTCTAATGCTGGTTATTGAAAAAAGAGCAAAGCAATTTTTCATTACATAAAAACATGACAGCTGCAAAATGCAAACAAATAATTGCAGAAAGAAATGGTTTACTTTTGGAGACGTGCCCCGTCCTTTTCTTCAAACTCTGGTGAAAGATTTCCTGGATCATTCAGCTTAATTGGAACCATTGCTATTTGCTGTACATCCGGGGATTGCCTTTTGTTATCTGTGAAAGGGAGACTGGGCTTTTTCAGATGCAATCATATACCATTGTATTTTGGGGGATACAATTTCATTTACAGTGAATTTTTTAAACCTGTATACTCATTCAATTGTTCTTATATTACCTGCTTAGTATTTCTTCTTACTTGGTGCCACTCTACATGTTATCTCCCAAATCAGACTAATTTTGTGGCCAGGTGGTCTTAGGGTTGATCTTCTAGTGGTTTTAATTAGATGATTTGCAGTAGCATTTGTTTAATTTTTGTAATTGTTAATTATCTTTTTCTTGAACCCGTATTTTTGGGAAGCTTTTTGAAAAGTATATATATGGATACAGACTGGCTCACAGTCTACATTGTATAGAGAGAGAGGGCGGTATGAGGGATATAAAGTTTTGATTGTCACGAGTTTGGGATGCATGTATTAATCAGCAGTGGCAAAGCTATGAGTTATGCAGGTCTTCTCAAACAAGGGTGATAAAAACTTTGTAATACATTGCATCATCTCACATTTTGTTAATGCCAGAGATTAGTGAAATTTTGTTCGCTTTGTACTATTTTTAGTTTCCCTTTGCTTTTGTCACATTAGTTACTATGGAAACAATGATTTATTAGTGTGGGTGGAGCTTTGCGGCATCCATATGTTTAAAATATGTTCAATTTAGACAGTAGTTAGAAATGGTTTGTGAAATACAGAAATCTGTGCTGGATCACACACAGTATGTGGTATCTGTGCACAGGGAGGGTGGATGTGTGAATTTCCTATTTCATAATTGGTCATTCTTTAACTTCAGAATTCCCACATTATTTGATTGACAAAAACAGAATGGTTTATTAAAAGGATATAGTGTCTATATTCTTTTCCTGTAAACACACGGTGAAGAAAATAACTACAGTTTTATAATTTAATCAAGCAATTAAATTAGCTATTCAACACTACTGGTATGAAATATGGAGGACAGTAAACTTTATATCAAAAAGCTATATATTTCAGCTTTCATAATATTTTAGTAGTACTTTATTATACTATGTTCTGAGCTCTTAGCAAAATATCTGACTAGATGGTGGCACATAATGTGAATGTATTAGGGTCTGTGAGTTGATGATGCTGAATTTGGCAGATAATCAGAGGATGAAAAATTGTGGATCAGGACCTCAAATATATATATATATTTAGTGGTTTCAGTGTACATTTTTAGGTATTATATAGCTACTTTTTTCTCCGTGTTAGCATAGCTCAGGAACTAGTATGGCCTGAAAGACAGATTATCAGATTTGTATATATGTTTACTAAAGACTAAATTTGTGTCATTTAGTCACAATCTGAAGCAAGGGGGATGGTGAAGAACCCAAACTGTTCCAGTGGGGAGCTCTGGAGAGATTCAACTTCATTGAGCCACTGTATCTCCCTGTACTCCTTAGTTGAACTGTGGTGGCAGTGGAGTAATTTACAGCATCTTTTTGTGAGGCACATCATAACCTGAATGCATGTGTGTGCATACACACCTGTGCCATGCAGCCTGCCATCTTTGTTAGCTGGTGTGTATGTGTGGCAGAGCCATGGCTCCATCTACTCTCCTCCTGGTTAAAGCCCCTGTGATTGCAGTCCTTGTGTTTCTCCGAACACCAAGGATGCATGCGTGCCCGTATGTGGGCTGTACAAAGAATATGGGAGATCTTGTACCTTCCTACTGTCCTGCGTTACTATAAAACAAGGACATAGTTTCGTGTTAGGTAAGTTGATTGCTGAGAAATGTTTTATTGTAATGGCGAAACGAAATTAATTGTATGATCAGGCATTGGCCTTATGAAAAATAACAAGAATTTGAGAAAATACATGGGATTGAAAATTAATCTGCTAGGTTAAAAAAAAAGGGAGGGAGTTGGGGGGGGAAACTAACTATAGATAAAAATGGATCTGACAGCAGAATATCTTCTATTTTGTTTAAAATATACTGCAGAATGGTTTATTATTACTGCTTTCGTCAAAAAATAAAAATAACATATAATTCGGAACAGTTTCTGTTCTGTGGATTGCAACAAAAAAGGAAAATATTCTGCTCCCATACTCTGCTCTTTCTGCGGTGCTATTTTTCTCTGTGTATTATGCTAAAGATCTTCTCAAGGCCCTAGCATATTTTTTCAGTTACTGTATTTATTTTGCTATTCTTTTGAGACTGTGCGTTTGAGTTTTTATTATGAAACTGAAGATTGCTCAGCATCTGAGTCTACACTACCATTAACATACTACTGTTGGAGTAATTATACCAGTGGTGGGCAACCCGCAGGCCGCATGCAGCCCATCAGGGTAATCTGATTGCGGACCGCAAGACATTTTGCTGATGTTGACCGTCTGGAGGCACTGCCCCCTGCAGCTCCCAGTGGCCGCGGTTTGCGGTCAACATGAGCAAAACGTCTCGCAGCCCACAATCAGATTACTCTGATGGGCTGCAGGTTGCCCACCACTGAACTATATTGTCTGTTCCTGGAATTTAGCCGGTTAGGAGCTTATATTTAAAAGTTATTTATCTTGTTGTATGAAACTCACTGTTTGATTCATATGTTTGCATGGTCATTTAACAGTTTGGTTAGTGCAATAGCAGCCCAGCCATTGTTTTATGTTTTCCTGTTGTGCTCCTGTGTATTTCGTAGTGAGTGTGTATGTGTGTAGATTAAGTGGGCTAGGATTAGAATGCTTAATGCATATGAGTGATAGTTTAATTCATATGCTGAGCTCATCTAAATTCCAAAGATTTGAAGTTTTCGGATCTTGAACCAGAAGACAGAGCAGAAGTCAGTGGGCTGAAATAAAACATTTTTGCATGAGGAGGTGGTTTGTTTTTTTTACAGCAGTTGCACAAATACAGCAGTACACAGTTGTTATATCTCTGTTAATTAACTTGAGCGTGAAAAGTTGTTTCTTGCTTTTCATTTTTTATTTCATGCTATTGTTTAGATTTTACCATTTTATCTGTTAATTAAAAATACAAGATTAGCATAGAGATGTGGATCATCTCAGTTGGCTGGATAAGCATTATGACTGACTTTTCTCTTCCAATATTGGATTGCATTTATTGAATACATTTAACTGTAATTTTATTTTTAGCTTCCAAACCAATCTTGTTTGAATACCTGGTTCAGAGACGATGCCTACAGTATATATATTTTTTCTGTACTTTTCCTTCCTCCACCCCCTATTTTTTCCTAATTGAGAGTAATAGAAATCATGATTAGGAGAACTTA